TCAACGACGCGAGGGAACCATGAGATCCCTGTAGGACCACGAAACGTGAGTGGTATACCAAAATGGGTGCGGCGGATGCATATGTTGGCATACGGCATGTGGACCTTCGGTGGAGCTCTGTAAGGGGCCAGGAAACGTTTGAGGGGTGTGGCGAAACAGGTACATGCGGAGGGCAGAGGCAAGAAGGGGGAGGAGGAAGAAGGAGGAGAAATTGGAAGGAGAGGAGAGACGCGGGGCGCTGTCTCTTTAAAACGAGGACCCAACTCCGCAGGATGGTTGCGAACAACATATAAAACACAGGTTGTTGCAACATCGGTTTTCAACCAATGCCTGCGCTCGCGCTCCTGCGTTTAAAACCAAAAACCTTCTTCAACATGTACACCAACATCGGCCAAAAGGGCCTCTCGCGCCGCATGTAGAAATCATTCGAGCGCCCTTGCGCGCGTGCTGGGGGGCACGATCCATGCAAAATAATACCATGCGGGCAGTTCTCGCGCGTCGGCCGCGCGCGCATGTCGAACTCTTCCCAAAACCTTCATCACCGACGCGAGGACGCCGTCATCGTCGTCAACGTGATAAGCATCACTACTACCATCATCGTGGCTACCGTGGTCGGCGTTGCCTTGATACCGCGCCCGCCCAAGTGGCCGACTCGCTGTGAAGTGCCAGGTGGGAAGTGCCCAGCGGTCAGCGCCACCGCGGCCGCGTCGGTCGCGCCATACTGGCTGTCCGTTTTGAGCGCGAGCATGCGCGCTAGCGCGGCCGCGGCGATGCGCCGGCCAGCGACGAGCAGTCATCGCAATCGCCGCCGCATGGGCTTTGCAAACCAAATTGCGGGTGGGTGGGTGGGATGATTGCGCGAGCAGTGGAGTTGACAACTTCAAGTTCGGCAGGGTGAATTGCACCACGTAGTTTGCACCACTGAAATTGCTCCACCTAGATTGCAAAGCATATACTGCTAGGACACACTCTTTGGGTTCCACGCTGGCTAACATTCAAATTCTAAGCCATGATGCGTTCCTGGCCGCAGCTTTGGGGCAGCCGGGGGATCTGAACTGGATGGGGCCCCAGAAATTCGACCAAGAGGGGAGACGAGGCCAAGTACGCTCGAAACTGGCCCCCTGACCCCTCGTGGGGTCCAGCTGGTGCAGCTTTTGACCCCGCATCAATGTTCTGGGGCCCGAGTTCGGCCCCAGAGACCAGAAGAGTCAAGAAAGCTTCTCGAACCCGGATCCGCGAGCCTGTTCTCCCGCTGCCTGCTGGCTGGCACCAGTGCTGGGCCACCTCCGACCCCAGGCCAGCTCCAAGCCGCAACAGGACGAGTGATCACATCCGTAAGAGCACCTGCCATGGCAGAGCCATACGCCACACGCCTGGACAACCTGAGGCCCAGAATCTCGTCTGCGAGCCTCCGACGAAGCATGCCCGACGCCGGGCTCCTGGGAACGGCGCCACGAACCCGTCTTGGGTGCAGGGTGGCGTCCGCTTGTGACAGCTTCTGACAGCTCCTCCTCCTCCTCCTCCTCCTCCCCCTCCTCCTCCTCCTCCTCCTCCTCCTCCTCCTGCTCCTCCTCCTGCTCCTCCTCCTGCTCCTCCTCCTCCTCCTCCCCTCGTTGCCCCTGAAAGTGCTAGGCCAATGACCCTGGGTTTACGCCGAGCTGTTGCAGGCTTCTGCAGGCTCTCGCATGGCCTCCACCAAGAAAGATCGAGGATCCTCGGAACGTGTGTTAGCGCCAACATGTGCTTGCCCACCGAAGCTCTTCAGTGCGACGCAGGTAACGTAATGAGGGCCGACACAGGCTGCGTGCTATCAGTAGAGCTAGCGGGGAAAGCATCTACACACGAGCTGACACTTTTCTTAGCCTTGGGTATACATTCCTCCAGCCTAGACCCACCTCTCCATCTTCAATGTTCCTCTTATCATGACAGGGCTGCGAGGCGCACAGTGGATCTCCGACTTGTACCATGAGGAAGCGCTCGCACCGCGCGTCGCGGATGCCCTGCAATTCCGCAATCGAGGGTCAACCTGGCCGCCTCGATCAGAAAAGAAAAGGAATTGTAGAACCCAGCAATTGCGGACAAGAGTGAAAGGGCGGGCGCGCGGTGGGACGCGGGTGTGTCGCGGGTGTATCGCGGGTGGGTCGCGTGGCGGGTCGCGGGGTAGGTCGTGGGTGGGTCGCGGGTGGGTCGCGGCGGGAACGACGACGAAAACAACAACAAATTAGCAGAATCTGGGGCACGGAGTCCCACTTCACCCACGCACCCAGGGACGGTGTAAGGCAGTTCGGCCCCCTCACTCTGACCATACGTTCTGGGCAACGTCGTCCATCGGCCCCTCCTCCCCGCGTGCGGCAGCCCGCCATCTGCCCTCCCCGCTGCGCGTGCGGCCTCCATCGTGCGCGGAGGTCGCTGCTCCAGCCGCTACGTGCGCGGCTACATGGGGAAGCACACAAAACACCTGCTTTCAACCTAAATGGAGCGAGGCGGCGCAATTGGAGGAACAAACAGCTGATTAAACATGAACTGGCGGAACTCCGCACGGATGTCCAACAGATTATGTCCATGTTGTCTGTCTTCTTCGAGCGACGTGTCATGCATATGTTCGTGTCTTCTCAACGAGTAAGCTGCCGAATCATGCGCCGAGAGAAAGAAGGTAGACCGCGAGATGGCCAGAAAAGCCAGGACCCCCTACGACGAACAACCTCGATTCGTATAAAGCACATGGCCAAACAAGTCGAACGTAATGAGGGTGGAACGCGAAGCAGGCCGTCACAGCGGGGAACGGAGCATCTTGCCGAGGTGAAATACATCATCAGGCAAGACCTGGAGACCCGATTCCTGCAGCGTTGTCGCGAATACGTGCCCCCCCCCCCCGACCTCCCACGATCTGTGAGTGCTTGAGTTGAAGTTGACGCTGCTATGGTTTAGATGGTGGGGGTCCGTAGTCTGATGCTGCTGGCGTCCGACTTTTATGTCGTCCCGCAGAGCGGCCGATGTGTCGATCTGCGCGCTCTCGACGCTTCTAACCCTCCGCCAACTTTAGCCACTACTGCGAACGGAACGTGCAGTGTAGGGATGTGGTCCCGGTCAGCCCAAGAGGTGCGAGCGTATATGCAACCTGGCCGCCACGCTGGCAGCGTTGAGCCTCTAGGTGGGCGAGGAGTGAACAGCCAGATGTATCGACCCATGCCCACTCGATTCCCCGAGCAGCGTTGCACGGCCATTTTTCCTCACGGTCCGCTCTGTTCGTCTCCCGTCATTCCGTTCCGTTCCCCCTTCCTTTTGCTGATGAAACGATCTCGCTCCTTCCCCTCGAGACCCCTGGCACTGATCCGCCCTCAGCCCTGATCCCCACGTGTTTTGCCGAGTCGTCCCCATATCACCGCTGCTGCGAAGTGCGTCGGAAGCTGGCTGTGGGCATCGGCTGTCAGCACGCATTACTTTTATAACCAGCGCGTAAGCCACTTTGGGCACCGATGCCATTAGCTTGCGCCCCCTCCGCGGCCAAGCGCCTGCCACCTGGGACAAGACCATCGACATTACATGCATGGCTTGCTTCGGCAAGACGGGGACGACGTGGCAAATTCCGTGAACCTAAATTGCAGAGGGAATGCTCCACCTAACACCCTGCACGTAGATGTATACAGTAAGAATGTGTTCGAAGAGGGGGAAGAAGAAGAGCAGGAAAAGGATGAGCAGACCGGCGACAGGACAGTACTGCACTCGACACTGAGCTGGATGAGGAGAAGAGGCAGGATGCAGAGGAGGTGCAGACGCAACGGGCCAGTACAGTCCACCCGTGTAGTCAGGACGCGCGAGAAGGATGCAAGGGCCTTGCAGTGCCCTTTTCGATGCGTTTCGAGCGGGGCCCGGCCAGAGAAAGTGGCCAAGGAGCTGTGTTGTCTTATGTTTTTTGTGTTTGCTTTATGTATGTATTTGTTGTTTTATCTTTGTATGTTTAAGAAAAGCTGGCGAAGGATGGGCCGAGAAGGCAAGGATGCAAGGGTACCCTTGGGCAGATTACCCATCCTTACTGTGCGGGTTGACTGTAGGGCGGCCCCCAATGAAGGGCAGAGGCCTTGAGGCTCGGTCCCGTCACCACTGCTCCAGTTCAGGCTGCAGTAAGCACATACGATAAGAGATTCCTTGCGGGGGGGCGGGGGGGCCAGTCTTACTTCCACTGCCTTCCAACGGCCTCCTTCAACCTGCTTCTGCCTGAGGGGTCTCCGCCGATTTGATGCTTCCGCCGAGGAGATATACGGTCGGGAACTTGTGTTTAGCGGGTCGCGGCGGCGGCCCAGCGACACGCTATGCCCTGTAAGCGGATAGCATGTCGCTTCGCTCCGCGGGGCGGGGGGCTCGAAATGGCTTGGGACGTTGACGCTTGGGAGCGGCGACGTGGATAGCGTTTCGCGCTGAAGCGCAGTGGGCAAGAACTGGCGGCGCGACACGCTAAGCCAAAGTCCCTTATCCTAAGCCTCTCGAAGCCCTCGAAGGCAAGGCCCTCTTTGGAGCGCCCCAACTGGCTCGGTCACCAACGCCTCCAGGAAACGCACCCCCAAAACCCCTGAGCACTTCCCAAGACGCCAAAGAAAACGTCCAGAACCCCATGAATCCTCAATCCCCCCTTGTTTTTCGCCGTTCCCTCCTGCCGGGCCGATCTGATCCACTTCCTCGACCACCGATTTCCAAGAGGTGGTGACCCCCTCATTGGTGACCCCCCCTTTGCACTGCCAGAGCCTCCTTCTGCGAGGCGGGGATTTATTCACATCCGCCGCCAGGGAACCGACGTCCTGGTGACCCAGCGGGCGGTGGATATGGATATATTTCGGCCCTCGGGGGCCCGAATATGTCCATATCCACCGCTTGCCGAAGCTCCGAAAACTCACCCTCCAGGCGGTGGTCATGTATAAATTCCCGCCTCGGACCTTCGTCCCGTACCCCCCGTTGCTGCAAGCTGCGACTGCTTAAACCAACTCTCTGCAGCACGGCCGGGCCTCTCAGACGCCAGCGCCGCCGCCTCAGCGCTCTCCGAACGGACCCCATCGGGCGGCCATCGACTGGCCCCCTGGACGAAGAGCACAAGAAATGATAAACGTACAGTCGGACTTCATTGGACAGGACACGCGAGAGGACAAAAGACCCTTCCGAGGGCCACATTGCCATAGGAATGCAGGAGGCATGGGTCGTGAAGCTCAGGACACAAGGGTACTCTGAGCTGGCAGGGTCGACCTACTAATCCGGGCCGACGGTACATCCGATGGAATGAATCTCGGTACCTTGCTGAACGATTCCGCCCTTTGGGAGTCCTTATCGGGCCTCGGGCCCTAGGATCACCAAAAACGCATTCAGGTTGAAAAACTGCCCCACGTGGCAAGGGTCGGGACTTCTGGGGCGGAGCACTGAACACATCATGTCGTCGAGTATTTGGGGAAACGGGGACGAAGGGCGGGAAACCGACGGAGAAAGAGGTCTGGAAAGGACGGAGGAGACGGAGAGGACGGAGAGGACTGGGAGGGCGGAAAGGACGCCAATAACTGCGCGAGAGAGAGAGAGAGAGCCAGCAGAAAAAAAAATGAGACCGAGATATACCCAAAGAAAGCACAGGCAACAAAACATGTATACAGAGAGATGGAGGAAAAATATAAGAGTGCCACAACGACAAACAGGCAGACAGACAGACAAACAAAGAGAAGGATAACAAAAGTGCTACGCACCCAACCCGTCTGCACTAAGCGACAATAGGACTGTATCCAGAACAGCACGGCCGATAACAACACAGATTAGCTCAGCGGTCGTGCAAACTGCACGAAAAGCGGGCGCGCGCGCGCGCCGCACGACTCACAGGACAGCAACAAAAGGACGAGGACTGAGGCCCAAGACTCGACGAGAAAAAGGATTTGGGAACGAGGGGCAGGGAAACGACAGAAAAAAAGGGGGCCGAAGAGTTAACGCGACAGCAGCAGTGAAACGGTGGGGGGAAGAAGAGCACGACAACGAAAGATGCAGGATGAAGACGAAGGGTGGCGATCATTTCCCAGTGGCTCGCTGGACGATCAGCGCGGTCCGCGCCATATCGCCCTGGCGCGCCAAAGGCTCAGCTGTTCATAGATAGTGCAAGAAACGAGCGAAGTCGAGCTCGCCCGCTAGGTTCCCCGACGCGGGAGCGAAACGTCCGCCAGCGCGCCGCCATCGGGCGGCCCGCAGGTGAGGACATCAAGGCGAATCTGAAGCCAGACTATGCCAGACCACCAGCAGCCGAAAGTAAAGACATCTCGCATATCACAACCCCCCAGGAATGGCAAGGTCTCACTCCGGGGAGCGTGGAAGGCGTCTTGTCCTTTCCAAGGGCTGCACCTCATGCGCCGCCACGGCACGCCCAGGCCCATCTGCTCCAGGCAAACACTACACGCGCGGACGCCGTCTTCGCGGGCCCACTGGCCAAGCGGGCGCTACATCTTACACTTCGCACAGGAGAAGACCGCGTTCCTGCCTGAAGGCATGAGTTCCTCCTCGATTGCGCCCCAATAAATGTCCTCTCCACGGAGCGACCGCAGGAGCAAAGCGGGGCCTTTCCCGGTCCCCTTGACGGCACGGAGCAATGTCAAACGGACGGCACGGAGCAGCGCATACCAACAGAAAACTAGCAGATCTCCACGACGCCAGCACCCGCGCCATCGATGCAGAGCTTCAAAGTGGCGACGTTCCTCCGCCATCACTCAAGTCGACGAAGGCTCCACGATTGAGCGTCTGCCCCTGCGCCGCATAGGCCGCAGCGCGAAAGGCCGGGGCCACTGGGACAAAACAGCAACAACAAACGAACTTCGATCTTCAGTCGCGGGCTCGCGCGGCCTCTGTGTTCACGGGCAAAGATTTCCTCTGCGGGGTCGCTAGGTACAAGTGGGAGTTGAGAATCCTTCGGTCGTCCAAGTGCACGGGCCTCGACTACCGTGTCCGTCGTCCCCTTCGTCGAAATGAACGAAGGCCACCCATGGAAATGGCCCCCCCTACGCGAGTCACGTGATCGCTCTCGCCGTCACCGTCGCAACCCACGACTGCGCGTGACCTTCGCGCCCTCGAAGCAAGTGCTTGTCCTCGATGCGGCCGGCGCGACCGATGAGAGCAACGGGCGCGCCTTCCGCGATCGGCAAGAACTCGCACAAAGCGCCGCTCTCCTTGTTGTGGCGCTGCAGCCAGGCCACTTTCTGCAGCGGCCAGTCTGGCCGCTCCCGAAGGGCATCCGGCGTCGGCGCGTCTCGCGCTGGCACGCGCACGATGGGCTTCCTGTGCGTCCTGGCGCACTGGGCTGCTCGGAGTCAATTCACACTTCACGTCGTTGTTTGGAAACACACCTGGCGCCAGACGGAACTGCTCCGTTTAAAATCGAGTCTCGCGAGGCCCGTCCCCCACGAGGCGGCGCCGCTCACGTTCTGTCTTGCAGACAATACACGTGGCCTTGCGTACCTCCCGAGGCGCGACAGCGCGACAGCGTGATCTTCCCGCTGACGGGACCCTCGCGGTCTCCTTGTTCTCGCACAGCGCTTTGCACTTCCCCTGCTGACAACTTTTCGGTTAAACCAACACCCAGGTGCGCTTGCACCGCGCATGTGCGAGAATGCGCACGGGTCCTCCGCTCCTCTGCGGAATTCTTCATGCACCACTTTCAACCAGGCGTCGCCGCATCGCTCGCACTCTATAAGGCGTCGCAGTTCAACCAGGCGTCGCCGCGTCACGCCCTGCGCCCGTGAAGAACTGGCGGGAGCGATGTGAATTTCCGAAGCGCGGCAACGCGCTCCGCCGGGACGGCTGCCAGAAACCCTCCGTCTGGCGGCGCGAGTTGCCAGAAATCTCCGCTGAAGAAAACGATGGATGACACGAAACGGCCTGGACACACCATCATCGTCCCGCTTCGTGGTGCCCACGTCCCGCATGACCCGTCATGGTTTCGACTCGGCCTCCGCCAACAAACGCGCGCTCACAATGCTGATCTCGTCTGCAACCAGCTACCTCCAATCCGGCACGCGCTTCGCCGCGTCGTAGTGCATCGTCATGTCTTCCCCTTGTCATATCTGCACTTGGCCGCCGGAATACCGCACGCACGGTGAATCGCATCTCCCTCGGGCAACCGAACGCAGTTATTTGGAAGTGCGCTCCGATCTTCCACTTCGGCACCCCATCGAAGAGCCCCTGCCGCAAAACTCCCAGCACGGGAGACTTCCCCGCTCCAGGACCCCCGTGCATGCACCACCGTGGCGGCCCCCCCAGATCTGCATCGCCCCTGGCCTCTCCGCCGAGTTCTCACATCACTTGGCACGCAGCTTCCCGAACCATCTCGACCTGCTTCGCGTCCACGACGAGCTGGCTCGACCTCTCGTCGGCACGGCACTCCCAGCCCCGCAGCCACGCCGCCGCCCACCTCCTCGGCCGACGCCACCCTGTCGGCCATGGACGCTCCTTGTTCCGCGATTTCCGCACCTCTCCCAGCACGCGTCCCTCGCTGCAGCCCTCCGCTTTCGGCCACACTGGCGGTACCTCGCTTCTCCCCCTTGCGCTGACCCCGAGCGTTTGGTGGGTTCGGCGGTTGAGGCGCCAGTCTTTGAATTTGCAACTGTTTCACGGATGGAGGGCGGTTCCTTTCCAAAATTTTGCTCGCCGTGGCGACGGGCGACGCGCACATTCGTCTTAAGAGATTGCCGCAGCGTCAAGGATTCTCACGGCTAACATCCTAAAAATGGCGTGCTGGCACGATGTCGGAAGAGTCACGTCAATTCATTGTGTTGCAGGCCCAGGAACAGTGCTCTGGCACGATTCTGGATCGTCAAGACGCTACAGTAACAGTGATTCGTGGCGTTGAAGTCCCAGGAATGGCGTTCTGGCACAATTCCGGATTTTCGAACGGTTGTCTTCCAACGGTGCACGCCCCTCAATGAACATGAATCCTTGCATGTGTCCATAAAAGGGGAACTTGGAGTGAGGGCTTATTGCAATATCACTGATGAATCTCAGGTCTACACTTGTCCTCCTCCTCCTCCTTCCCCTGCTTGGAAAAGCCACTCTTCTGGCAGGAGTCCCCCCCGCTGAGCTGAGCCCCCGGCCAGCGCACACGGCTGCGCACTGGGCCCCGCAGCCAAGCGCCTGGAGCCCGCACCGACACCGCAGGCACTGCCGCCACCGTACAAGGCGAGGCCCTCCTCCATCCTCCTCCTCCTCCACCCTCCTCCACCCTCCTCCTCACTCCTCGTCCTCCTCAGCATCCTCCTCCTTCTCTTCCTCCTCCTCCTTCTCCTCCTCCTGCTCCTCCTCCTGCTCCTCCTCCTCCTCCTCCTTTTCCTCCTCCTCCTCCTCCTCCCCCTCCTCCTTCCAGACACTGGATCCCTTTTCCAATGGTTTCCTTACCCAATGCCCTCACCGTATCGTCATCCGGTTTCGGTCATGGGATGGAGATGCCGGGGAGAAGATCGAGGTGGGAAGGAAAGCCTGGCCTCGGATACTTGCGGGACGACGACGACGACGACGACGACGACGACGACGACGACGACGACGACGACGCCACAAGACCAGCTCCAGACGGCCTAAAAGACGCTCCATGAGCCCAAAGATGTACCACTCTGTTTCTTCGTCTGCAATCAGCCGTGCTCGCAGACCTCCCCCGCGAACATCACTTGTACCTGCACCCATCAGAATTTTCAAGGCTCACTGATTGGGGAAGGTCTGCTGGCGGATGCGGCACACGCCGGCAGTATCGGTGTTCCTCTCCTTTCTCTTGTCAGGATGCTACTGGGACGTGTCATAGATGCCTGTGCCCATGCCGAGGCCCCAGAAAGCCGCTAAGCAGGCCCCAAGAAGCCCTCCAGCAGGTCTTACGATGCGCTTTGCGTCCCCAGCTGTTCGGCCCTGCGTGGCTCATATTTCCCAGACTCCTCTCCATGATGTTCGTGACACTCACCCCCGATCCCTCTGCCCTCTCCCCATTTGCACCCCCGACGCATCTTCCTCCCTCACTGGAGGCCCCTGGAGGACACATAGCACATCGACGACGTAGAAAAACCATCGAACCTCGATCCCGCCCTCCTCGGTGGAACGGTTCCCCTTAATGTCAGGCACAGCGTCCGAAGCGAAGCAGCGGGCGGACCCCAACTTCTCACGGCGAAGAAATACGCGCAGCCTTCGCCTCCAGCCTGGCCGTGGCCTTCCTGGTGGCGCTCAGCAGCTCGGCGATGGCGTCCGCCTGGCCGCGTTCGACCAAGGACCCCGATGCAACTGATGCGTCTTCCTGCACCAAGAACCGTGCGGCCCACCAAGACGCGACCAGCGAAGCCGAAGCCGCGCGCCCTGGCACTAGGAGGAGAGGGCGAGGGTGAGGAGGGGGGGAGAAGGGGGGAGAAGGGGGGAGGAGGGGGGAGGAGGAGGAGGAGGAGGAGGAGGAGGAGGAGGAGGAGGAGAGAGGAGGAGGAGGAGGAGGAGGAGGAGGAGGAGCCGGCAGGGGAAGACGAAACGCCGATCCCCTGGCACAAGTGAAGGGGTGCCGGAGAGCAGGCGTGCGGGGCGCCCTCGGCAGCTCGGCCACACGGGAGAGCGAGGCCCAGGCAGGAGCGGCCGTGAGTGCGCGGCCTTCGGGGGAGCGCGGGAATGCCAAGCCCGAGCGCGCCATGAGAAGGCGAAGACCCGCACGCCTGCTCTCCAGCACCCCTTCCACTTGTGCCAGGGGATCTGCGTTTCGCCTTCCCCTGCTGGCTCCTCCTCCTCCTCCACCTCCTCCTCCTCCTCCTCCTCCTCCTCCCCTCCTCCTCCTCCCCCCTCCCCCCTCCTCCTCCCCTCCTCCTCCTCCTCCTCCTCCTCCTCCTCCTCCTCCTCCTCCTCCTCCTCCTCCTCCTCCTGGCGTCAGAGGGCGAAGACCCACCCCCACCCCCAGTCCGGACCCCATGCCCGAACCCACGGTCCAGGGGGTCAGCGCTGGAGGTGGGGGTGGGTTTTCGGTGTCCAGGGGTGGGTTTGCGCCTTCTGACGCCAGCCGCTGCTACCGCGCCGCGTTCCGCAGTCTGGGGGCCCCAATGTGCCCGCACTACACGCCGGTCAGAAGCAGGGAGGTGCACACAGGAAGCAGGGGAGTCGGATAAAAAGCAGATGGGGTGCAGGCCGTCCCGGAGAACAGCAAAAAGCGGTCAAAGCATGCCGACTCTTGGAGTAGGAAGGCGCCTGAAGTAATTAGCTGGGACCTGGGAGCCCAGAATCGGCGGTGGACAACCCTCCCTTTCGTAAACCACGCTTTAATGAAAACGGCCTGGGACCAAAATCGACGGACCCCGACCCGCAAAAATGACAGCCGCGACGCCCTCCCGCGAACCGAAAACGGCCAGTTCGCCAATCGACGTGTCAGGGTAGGAGGTCGATCAACCTCCAAGATTGGGTTCAGGCCATCCAGGAGAACAGCAGAAAGCGGCAAAAGCATGCCGACTCTTGAGGCAGGAAGGCGCCTGAAGCAAGCAGCTGGGACCTGGGAGCCCAGAAACACCCACCTCCAGCGACTGGCGTGTAGAGGTCTCTCCGGTGACGGGTGAGGTCTCTCCGGTGACGGGTCACTCCCGCGTGCAGCCCGGCAGCCCCGCAGGCCGACCGACCCTGGGCCCGCTGGCCTCTCGGGCCGGCCCCGTGCCCTCCCCGGCCCGTCCTGCCCTGCGACTTCCTCCTGGCCCTCCGCCCTCTCCCGAGGGCTCCTGGGCCTCCTCTCGGCGTTGGGCAAGCCTCCCTTTAGCAGACCGCCCTTTTGAGTGAAAACGGCCTAGGATGAAGTCGGGCCTGTCCTCCTACCGGGGGATCTTGTGCGAAAAAATTGAAATACCCCCCCAAAAAAAACCAAATGGACAAAAGTAGTCAAAACATCGTCCCTGGACTATTTTTTACTATTCTTGAATTTTCCCCCTGCAGAGGGACAGGCCCGACTTAAGCCTAAGACCGAAAGCGACGGACCTGGACCCACGAAAATGACGACCACGACGCCCTCTCGCGAACCGAAGACGGCCAATTCGCGAATCGACGTGTCAGGGCAGGAGGTCTGTCAACCTCCGACTCTTCTGGGAGGCTGCTGGACGTGGCCACCGCTTCTCTCGACGGCGAGCGACGGGGGGGAAAAACGCCCCGCATCCGCGGGGTCGCGGCCCAGGGGCCCGGCCCGCAAGGCCGTGGATACGGGCACGGCCGGAAGTGCAATCCAGAAACTCATCACTTCAGCAACCTGGACCAGCTTCCAAAACATGCCTTATAGCAAACCTGGGCCAACTTCTGTCCGAAACGCTGGAGGGGCGAACGTGCTCAAGAAACTGGGTCAGCTTTCCAGCAAGCTGGTTTCTTACTTAAACGCTCGACTGTACACGTCGTTCATGTCTAATCGTGTTCATTTCTAATTGTGCTCGTTTCTAATTCTTCCTGGCCCCCTAGTGGCCAGGAAGAGGCCCAGGACAGAACACTTAGAAGTGAAAGGATCTTGCCACCAACAAAAATCGAAGAACCTTCGAAGAATTAGGAATGAACAGTGTGTATGTGTTTCGCCCGCGCCTCCAGGCCAAAGACCTCCAGGGAGGCCCAGCCTCCGAGGGCCTCTGGGGACCTCCTGTGGGACAGGATCTGGGGGGGGGGAGCCGAGACTGGCCAGCCCTCCCTGCTTGCCTCCTGCCCCGGGCGTCTCCAACTTCGCCGCGGTTGCTGGGGGCGCCCTGACTAGCAGAGAGCATCTCGCCCCTGCTCTCTCTCTCTCTCTCTCTTTGTCTTTTTCTCTCTATATCTCTCTATCTCTCTCGTTGTCTACGTACCCCTCACCCTCTCCTTCACGCGTGAGTGGAGCGAAGCGCTTTCCTCCAAAACGACCGAGGCGGCGACAGCGTCAGACAGGCATAGAAACGGAGGTTGCTGTCTCTTTTTACTTTGAGCAAGCATAAAAATGATAGGGGAGGAGAGAGAGAAGGAGCGGATGAGGACGAGCAATGGAGCAACAGCAGCAGCACGACGATGGCGACGAAGACTATCAAGAGAACAGGCCAATGTTGTTCCTCAACAAAAGCAATAATGTATGGAAATACGCTGCCCCTCAGGGGGGCTATCGCCCAACCGCGCGACAAAGACACCTCGGTGGCTTGTCAGTTCCCGCCTGTTCTCTTCAAAAGAGACGAGGCGGAAACTGACACGCCACCGACAACGCCGTCCCGCCCCCACCTCTGCGTGCCGCGTCCTGAGGAAACGGGCCCAGGACGCCGTGAGGCTTCCCTGGACGAGCTACTCAATCCCGAGACACTTTGAAAGTCCCGCGGCCAAAGGAGGGGGCCCGAGGGACCTGAAACGGCGGAAAACCTCAGGATCTCTTTCCTTCCGAAAGTCCCTGGTGCCACAAAGTCTCCCAGCGCATCCGGGCGCCTCTGAATACCCAAGCCAGGAACAAAGTCCAGAAAGCTCGATCCCTCTCCTCCAGGACAAGAGAAAAATGCATGAACGTAAACTGTCGGAGTGCCGCGCGGATTTCTTGCATCGGCGCTGGACCCCTCTCTGACGCGAGGAGCGCGCCAGGGGCGGCGCGGGAGGTGCTGCCAGGGGGAGGCAACGCCGATCCAAGAAGTCCTTGCGAACCTGAACACAATGATTGTGTTTATGCCGGCTTTCTTCTTTGAACCTCTGGATACCCAAACAAAAAACAACATCAATAATGCTTGATCCCCATCCTCGAGCCTCGATCCTACTCCCCTCAAGGACCCCTGTCTAAGGCGAAAACGATGCGGTCATGATACGATTGGCTCAGGATACGCTCCAGGAGATCCAGAAGACCTGGCTGCCTTCTTTTTGGCATCCCGTGTGGAACATTCGGAAATGTCGGAAATCCTGGAAATCAGGCAAACCTTGCAACGTATCATTGCCATCACCTCGTGCTCCTCTGACTTTCGCTCATGTTTGGGTGACTTAAAAGGGGGTCCAGCTGAAAGGGGGTGGTGCAATAGATTTGGGGCAATTGTGTTGCAAGTGTATTGCGCCGGAGAATTGTACTACATTGTGCTGCAGCTAATGTATTGCACCCGGAAATTAAGCAATACACGTGCGCCCCGGAATATATTGCACGCCCCAAATCTACTGCAACCCCACGACTCTATTGCACCAAATCTATTGCACCACCACCCTGTCGCTGGACCCCATTTCGGGTCAACCCGAACCTTGCAGCGTATCATTGCCATGACCTCTTGCTCCTCTGACTTTCGCTCGTGGCGACCCGCCCCGCGCCCTGAGGCTCAGCTCCCCGTCGAGGGCGGCCGCGCGTGCTGGCTGGCTGGCGAGGCCCGTGGAGTTGCGCCCCGCGGGCTCTTCGCCTGGCGCGTCTCGGGTATGCCGTCTCGGGGCCTCTGGCAATCGTTGAGCAGGGACCGACCGTCCCGGCATTCCGATAGGCCCACCACGAGATGTTCTGAGAACCCAAAAACGCTCTAAGGAGAAAACAACGTGCTCAGAGCATAAGCCCGAGGTGCCAAACCAAGACAGACTCAACCAGACATGCTCTAAGAACATTTCGCGCAGACCACAGAAGGTTGTTAGAACATTGTTTGGTAAGCCTGTAGGCACGCCAGGACGCTTCGCCACTGCTTGAAAGTGGAGGCCCTACAGGCGGATGTTGGACGACAAATTGAAAATACACCAAAAAAAAAACAAAAACAACCCAAAATAGTCAAAGCATCGTCCCCAGACTATTTCCCGACCATCCTGTGGTGTTGGGTCCTCGTTTTGAAGAGACAGCGCCCCGCGTCACCTCCTCCTCCTCCCGCTGCCCCCTCCCCCTCCTTCCTCCTCCCATCGACGGCATCAGGATCATCGTCACCATCAGCATCATCCCACCCATTTCGGCACACCCCGTCACACGGTTCGTGGCCCCACAGGGAGCTCCACCGAAGGCCCCAGCGGCACAGGCCGCATGCGGGGACCGCACCCATTGTGGCACACCCCTCACACGGTTCGTGGCCCCACAGGGAGCTCCACCGAAGGCCCCAGTGGCACAGGCCGCATGCGGGGACCGCCACCAATTTTGGCACACCCCTCACGCGGTTCGTGCTCCACCGAAGGCAGGCCGCATGCGGGGACCGCACCCATTTTGGCATACCTCTCACGCGGTTCGTGGCCCCACAGGGAGCTCCACCGAAGGCCCCAGTGGCGCAGGCCGCATGCGGGGACCGCCACCCATTGTGGCACACCCCTCACACGGTTCAAGGCCCCACAGGGAGCTCCACCGAAGGCCCCAGCGGCACAGGCCGCATGCAGGGACCGCCACCCAGTTTGGCACACCCCTCACACGGTTCGTGGCCCCACAGGGAGCTCCACCGAAGGCCCCAATGGCACAGGCCGCACGCGGGGACCGACTCCCATTTTGGCACACCCCTCACACGGTTCGTAGCCCCACAGGGAGCTCCACCGAAGGCCCCAGTGGCACAGGCCGCATGCGGGGACCGCCACCAATTTTGGCACACCCCTCACGCGGTTCGTGCTCCACCGAAGGCAGGCCGCATGCGGGGACCGCACCCATTTTGGCACACCTCTCACACGGTTCGTGGCCCCACAGGGAGCTCCACCGAAGGCCCCAGTGGCGCAGGCCGCATGCGGGGACCGCCACCCATTGTGGCACACCCCTCACACGGTTCAAGGCCCCACAGGGAGCTCCACCGAAGGCCCCAGCGGCACAGGCCGCATGCAGGGACCGCCACCCAGTTTGGCACACCCCTCACACGGTTCGTGGCCCCACAGGGAGCTCCACCGAAGGCCCCAGTGGCACAGGCCACATGCGGGCACCGCCACCAATTTTGGCACACCTTTCACACGGTTCGTGGCCCCACAGGGAGCTCCACCGAAGGCCCTAGTGGCACGGGCCGCATGCGGGGACCGCACCCATTTTGGCACACCTCTCACACGGTTCGTGGCCCCACAGGGAGCTCCACCGAAGGCCCCAGTGGCGCAGGCCGCATGCGGGGACCGCCACCCATTGTGGCACACCCCTCACACGGTTCAAGGCCCCACAGGGAGCTCCACCGAAGGCCCCAGCGGCACAGGCCGCATGCAGGGACCGCCACCCATTTTGGCACACCCCTCACACGGTTCAAGGCCCCACAGGGAGCTCCACCGAAGGCCCCAGTGGCACAGGCCGCATGCAGGGACCGCCACCCATTGTGGCACACCCCTCACACGGTTCGTGTCCCAACAGGGAGCTCCACCGAAGGCCCCAGCGGCACAGGCCGCATGGGGGGACTGCTACCCATTTTGGCACAGCCCTTACGCGGTTCGTGGCCGCACAGGGAGCTCCACCGAAAGCGGTACCCACAATGCAGTACTCGCAGCCGCATATGTTTGGGTCCTTCGTCAGGTTAATATTTGACCTTTTTCAATATCTCTCGACGTGGAGAGGAAGCGGCTGACACACGGTTTGGGCTATTTTGGTTTTCCAGGGGCCCTCCTCCTCCACTTCCTCCGCCTCTTCCTCCTCCTCCTCCTCCTCCTCCTCCTCCTCCTCCTCTTCCTCCTCCTCTCCTCCTCCTCCTCTCCTCCCTCCTCCCTCCTCCTCCCTCTCCCCTCCTCCCCTCCTCCTCCTCCTCCTTCCTCCTCCTCTCCTCCTCCCCTCCTCCCCCTCCTCCCTCCTCCTCCTCCTCCTCCTCCTCCTCCTCCTCCTCCGCCTCCTCCTCCTCTCACTGGTCGAGCTGTCAACAAGAACGACTCGGGGTGAGCAGTTGGCCCCAGGGAACATGAGTCCGGATCTCCCAGGGTCGACGCTGCGAAAGAAACATGACGTAGAGGTGGCCATTCTCTCTGCGAGGAGATCAGCTCACCAGCAGCAGGGGACCCTGAGATCCGCGCGTTGCACTTTTTCGTACTGGGCGTTTTCGCGTGGTTTCGGGCCCCGGGCCATCGCAGATCGATAAGGCTCGAACAATGCAGCAGGCAAATCAAGCCTAGGGCTCAGGTTGTAATTTTGCTATACTGAATTTGTTTCGCAACGTCGGGGACAGAGGAAGGAGGAAGAAGGACGGAAAGAAAGGAGGAAGAAAGAGATGAGGAGGAGGTGGCGAAGGAGGAGGATGAGGAGGAGATGGAGGAGGGAGGAAGGAGGAGGATAGAGGAGGGAGGGGAGGGGAGAGGAGGGGAGGGGAGGAAAGGGAAGTGGGGGGAAAGGGGAAAGGGAAGACGAAGGGAAAGGGGAAGGGGAAGCAGAAGGGGACTGGGAAGGAGGAGGAAGAGAAGATGAGGGGGGGAGCAGGAGGTGCTATGTCCCCCGCTCGCTGCAGCCCCTCAAACGGCATGGTAGAAAGGAGGGCAGGGAATGCGCTGCTGAACCGCGGTCTGGACCCTTAAATAAATATGTGTATATGTATACACACACATTATATACAGATATACACATATGTATCACGCCAGGCTTGTGCAGCCCGCTGAAGGCGGTGGAGAGTCAAAGGCCTGAGACTTGCCACGTGCATGGCCGTGCTGAGCCTCTGTAGGCCCCCCGAGGAGGGGGGCGGCGGGGCAGGACGGGACGCCGTCGCAGATCCAGCGGGGCGCCGTTGGCTCCAGTGTTCGATCCTGCCGCGATGCCTGCCGGATCGATTCGCCTTGGGGTCCCGACTGCTCTGCGGCAGTGGTCTGAACGGTATCCGACTGATTTGCGGCTGTGGACCGATGAGTTCCCGATGGGTTCGCGATTGATTTGCTATTCCAGGGCTCGACGCTGCCAATCAGAGCCACTTTCGATTCACAATGCACACTCGTAGATGGCTCGCTATGTCGCCCAGGCAACGCCTAAGATGCCCTGAGGAAAAGCCGACAGGAAGCAATACGGCAGCGTGACTCGCTCCATCATCCCTCCATATTATTTCTATTTCTATGTGCAGGAGCCCCTTCCTAATTGTGAAGCACCCCCAACCCGCAACCTCCTTGTCTGCCCTTTGGCCACTGGAATATGTGGGCCCCAATGGCATCGGTAGAGTAGAGTGCCACGCTCAATCACTGCGGCCTCGCGTTGCTGACGAAGAGAAGTAAGCGTGAGCGTTACCGCGTGGACAGCATCACTAGCGGCGAACCATGGCACAGGATACAGCCGTGCTGCGCGGCAGCAGAAAGGAGACTCAGCCAACCTCGCCTTCGCGTTCAGTGATTATGGCGAAGCTTATCTGCAGCGACTCGCGTCCAATGGGGTGAACGTCCGGGGGCACCGGCTCGGAGGGGAAAGCACCGAGCTGGAGTCAGCAGTACATCGCTGGTAGATCGGCGATGGCGCCCCCCCGTACATTTCAAGGCGGGGCGGGCTATCAGGCCCCCTCCCTCCCTCCCTCCCTCCCTCCCTCCTTCCCTCCCTCCTCCTCATCCTCCTCGTCCTCCTCCAAGGAGGAGGGGGGGGGGGGGGGGGGGAAAGGGGGGGGGGGGGAAAGGGGGGGGGGGGGGGGGGGGGGAACGCCATGCTGACCCTATTCAAGGCCCCGGACGAGAAAGTCGGGGAAGGAAGGTGGGTGGGGGGGGGGAACTGACCTGGCGCCATGACTGACGCCATTCAGGCTCGGAAGGGGATCTGGGGGGGGGGGAGGGGGGGGGAGGGGGGGGGGCTCACGCCATGGCTGACGCCATTCAGGCCCGGGAGGGCGGAAGGGAGGGGGGGAGGGGGCGGGGGTGGGGCTGACGCCATGGCTGACGCCATTCAGGCCTGGGAGGGGAGGGGGGACGGGGTGGGGGAGCTCGCTCGAGGCTCTGTCGGGGGTGGGGGGGGTGGATGAGCCAGAGCTGGTCGGGAGGAAGAGAAAAGGAGGGGAGGGGGGGAAGGATGTCTCGCGACGCATGGGGAGGAAAGGGGGAGTCGAGGGGGGGGGGGGGGGCCGCCATGGCTGACTCCATTCAGGCCCGGGAGAGGGAACGGGGGGGAAGGGAGGCCAGGGGGGCGGGGGGGGGAACGCCATGGCTGACGCCATTCAGGCCTGGGAGGAGGATGTCGGGGGAGGGAGGCTGACGCCATGGCTGACGCCATTCAGGCCCGGGAGGAAGGAAGGGAGGAGGGAGCTCGCTCAAGCTTCGCTTTGTCGGGGGGGGAGGGGGGGCTGACGCCATAGCTGACGCCATTCAAGCCCAGGAGGGGGGAGGGGCGGGGGATTCAGGCCTGGGAGGAAGGGAGTCGGGGGGGGGGGGGGGGGGGCTGACGCCATGGCTCACGCCATTTAGGCTCGGGAGGGACGGGGGGGGGAGGGCCGACGCCATGGCTAACGCCATTCACGCCCGGGACGGGGAGTCTGGGGGAGGGGGGGGGGCTGACGCCATGGCTCACGCCATTCAGGCCCGGAAAGCGGGAGGGGACATC